GCAATAAAAAGAAAATGTTTAGTAGAGGTAGAAGAATTTCATTTTTCATATCGCAAAACATAACCGTAAAAGATCTAAAAAATAATTGCGTAACTTCATTTTAATGTTTCTCTTTTGAAATAGCATTCAACTATCAGTCCTTAAAAGGACAGTTCACCTAAAAATGAATATTACATCATCATTTATTCTCCCTCATGTGGTTTTAAATCTTTTTGAGTTTCTTTCTTCATCTGGACACAAAATAAGATATTTAGAAAAATTCAGATTCATGCATTGACTTCCAAATACGAAACAAATATGTATTATGAAAATCAATAAGTGCCAGGACTAGCATATTTCTAAATATCTTCTTTTGTGTTTAACACAAAAAAAAGCTTAAATAGGATTTAATCAAGTGAAGGGTGAGTAAATGATGACAGAATTTTCAATTTTGGGTGAACTATCCCTTTAAAGCGTTAGCAGTCTGTTTGCTTAATATCTGCCAACACTTTATTTTGATTGCTCCCTCAACAGACATAAGTATAGAACATATTTTATTAATACTCTAATAAGAGTTGGCTCATAGGTGTTTGCAACCTTACTTACAGAACGTCTAAATTAATATGACAAAATGAAGTGCAAATAATAACTCTAAAGCAGAACTGGAATGAAGTTAGCCAGAACTAAACACGTTTTTTTCAGCCATTGTTCATGTTCAAACAGATATTGCCCCAAAAAAGTCCATACGAGTTACAAAAGCTAAAGTAATGCACTCCATGCATGTTTCTGTCAGTCGGCGTGTGTACAAATATGCGACTTATGCGTGAGATTTCGCAATCTCTTCCAAGACATGAGCCCACCTCAGGTCCAAGCCAAGATATTGCACAGACTCCCAATCAAGACTACCAAGAGACTCACAAACACCATCACACATACAGAGCAGCAGCCTGCAGTTACATCTATACATCACAGCCCTGCATTCCACACCACAAAAATATGCACACCACTTTGTGAATGACCCTTCTGGAAAACTAGTCACTTTGGAGAGCAGCATGTGTGTTTTCTAACAACATCTGTGTGGTCTGTTTCTGTAGATTTAGGTGCATCAAAATGGCTTAACACTCCTCTATAAAGTGCCTCTTTTAGGTTGTGTTGCGTTTGAAAGTTTGTTTTAGAAGGGAGATGCTGCCATCTAGTGGTGTGGAGAAGCTACAGCTGAAAATCAAGCCAATATTGGATTTTCCTGTTTCAGGAAGGGTCTGCCAACACCATGACAAGGTGGACAAATTTTTCTTCCTTGATTTCCTGCTCTCCTCATCCATCATGTTTTTTATCCAAGGATTACGGTTATCCAAGACTGTAAAAACATCAGTCATCTTTGGCTGAAGAATGAGACGCCACCCTGCAGCAGGGGTCCAATTTGGAAAAAATAAAAACAAGCGCAACACGGAGCGCTATCTGGCGGACAAGAAAGGGAACTTTTCTTGACTCTCAAGATTAGAATTGTTCTGGGGTTTCAAATGGGAGGAAATAAAAATCAGGAAAGCAACTGAGCTGGACGTGTGTTTAGAGCAAAGGCTATTCCTGAAGGAATTTAAAACCTCCTGTTTGTTTCTCAATAATCTGTGTCGAATCCCTCATAATGATGCATCATTAATAAAAAAAAAAAGGATCATATTTCTAATTCCATTCAGGCATTAGTCTTTGAAATGGCCATATTTAAGTCTTACGTAGTATAATATTGTTTATAACTCATTTACAGTGATAGTTTTCCTCATAATTTTACTTATTTTATCATTTAACCAGACGCAAATGAATCCTTAAGCTTAATCTTTAAGCTCTGATGAATCAAAACATGAAAACATAGCAAAATAAATCTATATGAACTCATTGACTTCTTTCTGTAACTCTTCTTAAAGGGATACCTCAAAATTAAAATTCACTCACTATTTACGCACTATTAAAAATAAGATATTTTGAACAACGTTAGATTTGTTAGATATCTGTAACCATTGACTTCCGCAGTAGGAAAAACAAATACTATGAAAGTCAATGGTGTCCAACATCTTTCTTAACAACTTCTTTGGCCTTCAACAGGATAAATAAACTCAAACAGGTTTGTGACAAATGAAGGACGAGTAAATGATGACAGATTTGGGTGAACTAATCCTAGACGCAATTTCTATATGACAAATTGTGATAATTTAAGCTTTTACTCAAACATGTAAATGTGCTAATCAAAAAAAACTGTTTGGAGAAACTTAAAAACAATAGCGAATTTATGAAGCGTGCTTCACACAGGTGAGTGGGCGTGACAAACCAACTGCAGAACACTCTTCTCTCTCTATAAAAAAAACACTCATCCCTCCTTACTCTAGCACATAGGTCTCAAATTGGATTCCTGGAGGGCTGCAGCTCTACAGTTTTAGTCCAACCCTAATCAAACACAGCTGATACAACTATTCAAGGTGTTCAAGACTAATAAACACTTAATAAAAATATTAAGCAGGTAAAAGTTGGAGGTGGTTGGAGATAACTATGCAGAGCTGCAGCCCTCCAGGTGTTGAGTTTGAGACCACTGCTCTAGCACTTAATTCACTGAGCACAAACAGTTGCTTTGTAAACTTTACACTTATAATTGCCTCTTATTGAATCATTGAATGCCTCCTCAATTGTTAGTCGCTTTAAAGCTGTTTTGTACTTCTGCGTTGAGTGATCGGTGTGACCCACGGCGCATGCCTGGCACATAGTCGTACATTTATACTATTGTGTGCTGTTTGTGTAGTTCTGCAATAACACTTCCGAAACGCTGGCTGGCAGTAGGTTTTAATGTTCCTCTGTGTCGAGTTTCTTCGCGGATGTTTTGTCTTTTCTGAATGCTATTTTAAAGTAGCTCAAACTCGCTCATTCTGAGGCAGGAACTGGCAGATGTGCAACAACTTTAATCATAAGGTAAACACAAAACTGGAGCTCCTTCACGGGACTGGATACTTGTAAACATGCGCTCCAGCAGGTTTGCGCGACTCATAACAACGTGTAGTTACTTTTTTTGAGAGGTGTCAGCGTCGGCATCAGTTACGACAAGGGGTATGCAACAGCGCCGAACCATATACTTGCACTTGACGCAAAATTAAAAATCAACCTTTAGACAAAAGCATGTGCTAAATGTAAATGTAGTTTGGTTACAGACACATTGATTTGACGAGATTTGTTTATGTGTGTGTGTGTGTGTGTGTGTGTGTGTGTGTGTGTGTGTCAAACAGAGACGGTATTGCTTCTGTTTATGTTCACTGAACAATGCTTTATGTGCACAAAAGCCTAAATGGAATCTCTCAAAGACAGCACGTTTATTCAAAAGACTACTTGATTTGTATTGATCTATTTCTTATTGATTTATTTGTTATCTTCTTAAAAATATTGTGATGCTTCAGAGTTTTGGGTGCACAGACCTTCAATGGAAGAACAGAAATATTTAAGTTTGATGAAGATACTAATATTTTCATTTCTGGTACAAAGACAATCCACATTCTTACGAGTAGCGATCAAAATGATGGTAAGTAAAGGACAGAAAAAATGCAGTTAATCAGTACTATGGAAATAGCATTTGTGTTGTAAATGTAAAAAATAAATAAATAATGAATAAACAAAGTAAAGATCATGCTACATGACCTTAGTTTTGAAAAAAGAAAATGGTAAAAATCAAAGACATTTCTTTATTTTTGCTGTATCAAAAATGTACAGTCCCAAACTGACACCATACTGAACCAAACTAAATTTCGTGAACCGTTACAACCCTAATAAAAGACTACATCTGTAGACCTCAAACTAAATGTAAAAAATAAGAACAAAAAGTCCTGGGGCCTCATGTACGATAACTTGCGTGGAAATCTTACTAAAACATTGCGTACGCACAAAGTTGTAAATGTGCGTACGCAGAAAAAAATTCTGAATCTCACGCATATTCTTTTGTACATCCGAATGAACGTGAAACTGAGCGCAACATGCACGAGCACAAAACCTCTCCCTGCCTCCTCCCCCGTATGAATATGCTAATGACTATGCTAATGGAAAAACCCAACGAAAAAGCAATGGCAAAAGCAAGCAAAAAGAGAAACTTTGAACAGAATGTGAAATGGAGGTGCTGCTTTCGGAGGTAGACCGGAGAAAAGCGGTGTTATTTGCAAGTTTGTTCTCCGGAATTAACAACAAAAGAAAAAAATAGAGTGGGAGAGTTTAGCTGATGCGGTTAACACAGTTGGGTCTGAACATCGCACTGAGTGCATTAACAAAAGAAATAGTGTGGTTTATATCTGTAAAATGTTGCAGTACCCTTAGCAGTCTCTGTGGCGCACCTCGTAAGACGCATGTCAACATGTATTGACACGTTCGAGCATAAACTCGGCTCGAATCCAGCGTCTGATGAACTCTTTCTTCTCTTTTTCCCCGCTACATATCAGATTTTGCCAACTATTTATCACGAGAAAGACAAGTAGGAATCATCAATAAGTTTGTGCATCATATTTTATTTGCACATTTATTGAATGGTAATGTTACTGATTCACGCATGCAAATTCATCTTCAGATGGCGACTTTATAGCAATGTGCGTGCAGTAGATAGCTCAGATTACATTGGGAAAACAGGCGACCGCTGCAAATTGTGCTTTAATGTTTAGCTGGTCAACTGTATGGTATGGAAACCTTACATACCTACTAGATGAACCCGTCTCATACAGCTGCCATTGCAAGGCTCAGACACTTTGTAGAGAAGAATTTAACACAACTGCCTCTAGGAGTCGCCAATGGAAATAAAACAGACACGCACAAAAAATGTGCGTACGCCAGCCAGAAAGCTGCCGTGAAGCTGCGCACATTCCCACGTTCAGTTCATTGTTAGTAAATCCAAATGTGAGCGATTCTGAGCGTGAAACCTGGCGTACGCAAAGTTTTTGTGCGTACGCAGCATTGATACATGAGGCCCCTGATCTCTACAGAATGTTATGTTTAAATGGAGTCTGTCTCACCTCAGCAAAGAGAAAACACTGTAGGAGTTTCTGACAGAGCTCTGGTCCACCTGAAGCAAACTGTTCTTCCTCCGGTCTGAACTCTCCTGTGGGAAAGAAAACAGGCCATGAGCTCCACAAAGTGTCTCTTCTTACAACATAAAGGATTCCACAGGAAACCCAGGAGATGCGAGCGAATTCGAGCTCTGATAGATGACGAGGTTTAGAAGATGGCTTGGAATTTATATTGGAGCTCTTCCCAAGAGTCTGAACAATACCTTCTGATCGAACTCAGCTGCATAGTAGCCATCGTTCAGTCCAAAGATGATCTCATTCGGATTTCTGGAGCGAATCTGAAGGCAAAGACACAGAGAGAAAAGAGAAAATGTCGAATGATGAGTTTGAACCTGAATTTTATCTTGATTTAGTGTTAAAGGGATAGTTCACCCAAAGATGTAAATTCCTCCACTTGTATCTAACATGTCTGATTTTCTTCCTTCTGCGGAACACAAAAGAAGATGCTTTGAAAAATGCTGAAAAGCAGCAGCCATTGACTTCCATAGCAAGGAAAAAGAAGACTCTGTGGAAGTCAAAGGCTGCTAGTTTCTGATTATCTAGTTTTGTGTTCAAGAGAAGAAGAAAATAAATCCATAAATGTTTAGAACAAACTGAGTGCGAATAAATGTTGAGGAAATTTTCATTTTTAGGAGAACCGTCTCTTTAAAAAGAAAGGTAGCAAAATAATTGCAAGACCAAAATCGAAAAACTGTTTTTAATTAACGTAATAAAGCCATAAAAACTGTTGTTTATATTTCAGAGTGCATTATGAAAGTGCTGGGCTGAACTCAATCCAGGTCAAAGAGCATAGAATCACCAAGAGGCGACACTCTAGTGTGATTTGGGAAACAGCCACTAGATGTTGTGGTGGCCATTTTGGAATGAAAACTCCAATAGAACAACAGCATATTATAAGTCTGTAAAAAAAAAAAAAAAAAAAAAAGTGCTGATGATTGTGTTAGTAATTGTTGTATTGTCGTTTTTCAGGTTGTATCTCAGCTCTAATGCGCTTTTTAAATAAATAAAAAAAAAACAAAGCAGCTGCTTGCCATCGCAACAGCAATAAGATCCAATGGACAGCTGATCACTTTCCCTCCAATATGGTGGAATCCGGGGCTGTTGCTGGGCGCTGCTGTTGCAATGGAACGTTCTATTGAGTGTCGCCTCTTGGTAATTCTAAGCTCTTTGTTTAGGCCAAATAAAGATATTTTAAAAGTAAATAAAAGCACAAATTGTGAATTTCCATTCTTTCGTCATCATTATTTCTTAAAGAGAGGACAAAATGCTCCAATACATGTGATCTGAATGACACAGGTGACTTTTTCAATTACTCTGTTCCTCCCCTAGATGGAATATATAGCCATTCTGATGTGAACAAAGACTCTGTATAGTTTCACTGCAACTACTAAAAGGGAAAGTTCACACCAAAACTAAACCTTGTTTTTTAAAAACCTGTCACTATTGACATCCATAGTAGGAAAAACCAATACTATGGAAGTCAAAATTCTAATTTTACCAGTGAAAACAAATGGTCTAATAATGTTGTTGATGACAGATGACAAGCACATGTTCAAGTACACCATAATGACTGTACAAAATTTTGCATTTTAAGCAACAGTAGACCTACACATAGCCCTAATACTATTATAGTTGTTTTACCATATGTTTGAGAATTAACAATAATAGGCTAATCATATTAACTTTTATTTTACATTTACAGAATCGTGAGAAAATCGTGATCTTGATTAAACAAAAAAAAAATTAGTGATTCACATTTCTGCCAGAATCGTGCAGCCTTAATGCTGAATATTCGACTGCATATATACCTGCTGTCCTGTGAATCGGAGACCATCTAGGTTGACTTTCCACTCAATAAGCAGTTGGTAGTGTTCTTCTCTCCCACCCCATATTCTCACCACAAAACAAGAAACCGACGTGTCCAGGAGGTCTGGCAGCATGGCAAAATCTAAGCTCCGCCATGTTGGATTCTAAAAACACACAAATAACAAACAAACAACATTATGAATATGGGTACTTGTCCTTGGTGATACAATATTATCGCGATACTTGTGTTACGATATAATATTATCGCAATATTCTGGAAAATATTGCAACTAATTCAAGCCAGCCTCATTGGAAATATGTGCCTCATGATACAGTTTTGTGAAAATATGTTGCTCCAGTTATGCTTTGTTGAAGCTTCTGATGACAAATGCTCTAGAGGGCACTAGAGAATCTAAAACACGTTACTTTTGTTTCGTGTCATTAACATGACATTCTTGTACATTTCCATGTAAAGGTGGAGCTCTTCATACATATTGCATTTGAACTGACTAATCTAAACCCTAAACAAAGTGTTTTCAAAAGCAAACTCAAGAGAAAACTGCATCACAGCCATATAGTTTTACCATGATTTTGCATTGCTTTGCCGTTTTGCCGAACCATACTTCATTAGACTCGAAACTGAGAGCACTACATCTCAAGTACAACACCTTACAAGGTGAGCTACCAAGCAAACTGATCATTTTTTTTACTTTATTTCTATAAATTAAAACATTTTACAGAACAAAACATTCAATGACAGCAGCAATTCTTTAAAAAAAACGACAGAGAAAAAAAAGTAACACTAGATATAAATAATAACAAATTAAAAAAAACATACATACATACATACATACATACATACATACATGCATACATTATTTTAAATTTCAAAGGAGCTGGGAATACTATGTCCTGTTCACATACATAGTAACAGGTGCCCATCTATGTTTGAAAATATCCAATTTCAATTGAAGTTGAGCAGTCATATACTCCATTCTATATATTGATTCAAGTTTTCTGTGCACTGTACTATTGTTGGAGGTTGTGGTTTCATCCAATTAATAGTTATAGTCTTTCTTGCGCTCAGTAAAAGTATATGTAATATATATCTCTGGTTTTTACAATATACTGCACATTCTCTATCCCTTCAAGCAAGAAAAACAGGGGGGTAAAGGTAGATCTAACGGCATAATTTTTATTATCTCAATCTTTGCCCCTCGCCAAAATGCAAGTATCTTAAGACATTCATAAAATATATGTGCGTGATTACCTACATTCCTGCAACCCCTCCAGCACTCCTCTGACTCTGGACTGTTAGCATATTTTGACACCATCAATGGTGTTCTAAAAAAAACTATCTTTTGTTTTCCATTCAAACTCTTTCCAATTATGGCTATTGATCTCCTTATGAGATTCTGAACAAATGTGTTCCTAAATATCATTCTCATTTTTTTTTTTTATTAAGTTTGGATTCCCATTTCCGGAATTGAAACTTTTTTTTACTATTATTATCATCCTTTTACACTATTTTGTACCCGCCTGACAAAACTAAACATCCACGATCGATAAAGTGGAAATTCTTGTCTTGTTTTCCCGTTTTGTTGAGTGTGTGCCAGACCTGTCAGCACACCCACAGACAGCGTGCTTTACAGACACACAGAAACGCACCTTTCTGGCACTTAAAAAATTAGTCCAGCCGGGTTTTTAAATCTCCTAAAATGTTTCCTAAAATCCTAAAAGGATTCAGCCTTTGCTTTCTAGAGCTGTTGTTAGTCATATGCATTTTTGCATTACCTTTTTACTTTAGCTTGGCTTTGCAGCTGACTGCGGACGCAAGAGCAAGAGAAACATTTAACAATTCATTCTTTGATCTAAACGACTCTTTTCTAGATATTCATAGAACAAAATGACTGATCTAAACTGGATGCAAAAATATATGTACACCATTAGTAATGGTTAATCAAGGCATTCACCTTATTTAAATAATCTACACGTTATAATCTTGTAAATATTATAATTTTGACATATTGTCCTTTTTTTATTCCCTTTTCTGTCATTTATTTCTTATTTGCTGCATATTTTATTAAGTTGATGATGTCATTAGCCTATGTTACATAGGCTCTTTTATATAAATATTATGCATTCAAGTTTACTTTGAACTTGAGAGAGAGAAAAAGAAGCAGATTGTACCTGTCAGTGGCTCCTGAATAGCATAAGAGAAATAGTGGATGTCTTTTTTTTATTTCACCTGTCTTTTTTTACTTTAATATTGAAAACACAGTTAATAATTTCCTAACAAATGAAATTATTGTTCAAAATAAATTGTTTTATTTGTCGCATATAGTTAACTATTTTTGTGATGTGGGTAAATGCGTTTCAATCCATCTACCACCGCAAGTATATTTTCTACCTGTGGGAAGCACTGCAAATAAATGGACGATTTGCAACTGCAAATCATTTAAGCAGAAAAACTGAGCAACATTTTTATTAAAATTAAATTTTATTTACAAGTTTATTTCTATAGCGCTTTTACAATGTACATTTTGTCAAAGCAGCTTAACATACAAGTTCTAGTAAATTGAAACTGTGTCAGTCCAGTTTTCAGAGTTCAGTTTAGTTTAGTTCAATGTGGTTTAAATTTCACTGCTGAAAGTCCAAACACTGAAGAGCAAATCAAGCATCATGTGGTGCAAAAACAAGAATAACGATAATAATATGTTGTTTTTAATAGCAATAATACTTAAAGTATTATTTAAATAATTCAAGTATTGCTGACCCTAACTTTCGAAGTGTTGTATTGAAAATTGGATTTGGGTTTCACAAAACCTTTTTTTTTTGTCTTTTTTTGGTCAAATATATCAATTCCAATTAAGTATTTGTTTTAAAACCCAAAATAAAACAGTTTTTGTTGCTCATACAGGAATTTATTCAGCTGATTTCTGCTTTTATGTACTTTTCATGCATTCTCAGTCATTTCTCTTTAAAAGAAAACATTTCAGAGAAGTGTCTTGTAACCATGGTTACAGTAGATTGTTTATCGCATCATTTAGAACGCGTTCCAAGCTGTATGCAAAGCCACACCCTATTGTGTAGAGCTCAGTGCGTTTGTGGTATTGGTATTTAATAGTTGTAGTTGTGGTTTTGACTGATATTAACGTTAAATCGCAACTTGTTTAGCAATCCACGGTGCAAGACCGAGATTGTCAAACTTGTTTAGCAATCCACGGTGCAAGACCGAGATTGTCAATATTGTAAGACCAAGACTGCCAGCACAAAGTTTTCAACTGGAGAAGGATAGCCCAAGAATGGGGGAAATTAGGGAAAAGAAGTCATTTAAATTACCCTTTTCCCTGAAATCTAAAAGAGTGCAAATCCCGGACAACTGCCGTGGTGAGTCATATTTACACTGGAATTTGATTATTCAGGGGTTTCCCTGATTTAAGATTATTTAAGGCCACTTCTGTCCAGTTTTGGGCTGTGTAAGCTCATGGTAGACCTAAAATTGACAGACCTTAAAGGATTAGTTCACCCAAAAAGTTTAATTTTGTTATTAATTATTCTCCCTTGTGTAGTTCAAATCCCCTGGGACTTTCGTTAATCTTCTAGCCACAAATTAAGATATTTTATTAATTTTATTTTAGAATTCAAGATGTAATTCTCCCTGGTTCATACACAGTCATGAGAAGTTTAAAAAAAATCAGTGCATCTGCTAATATTAACAAGGACAACTATTAATAATGTATTAGTAAATGTAGAACTATGATTAATAAATGCTGTAAATGTACTCTTCTCTCTTATTTCATGTGAGGGAATACACTAACCGCTTAAACTTTTGACAGTGTAGTGAAACCATGGTGCATTTGTGATGATCATGGTACAGATTCAACAAAAATATTTTCTTTTTCTTTATTTCTTGTTTTTTTGTAATATTTAAATGCTTTTTTGTTCTATCTGAAGTATCAAATGTGTGGAAAAGTGTTTCAATTACAATCATTTCTCTTTTAACAGTTATTGAGGAGAAGGCTAAGAAAAGGAGCCGGCTGGGGTCTTTCCTCAAATCTCTAAAAAAACACCTCAGGATCTCCTGCCTCACCCCCAATAAAGTGGAAAAGATGGATGATGTAAAAGAGGAAGAGCCGAAACGGCTCCCTATCTTACTTGACATTGACTCTGATGGTAAATGAACATAAACATCAATATATCAGTCTATTATAATATTAATAAATTGTATTTTTTGCATTCCCCTAACACACATTTAACATAATGACTAAGTAAAATGTGTAACCACTTCATTTCTCTTTTAACAGATGACTTCCTGCACTCAACAAGTGAGCCTCATCTCATCATAGTAACTGCCATGATTCATAGAGAGCCTAGTGTGAAAGAGGATGGAGATCGAGAGGAGGAGGAGGAGATTAAAGAAGAGGGGTTGAAAGAGAAGAAGAAGAGAAGGAGAAGGAAAAGAGAGAAAGAGGAGGAGAAAATGGAGGAGACACTGATGAAAAAGGAGGAGGTGGAAGACAAGATTATGGAGGAGGAAAGGATTAAAGAGGACGATGAAAGGAAAGGGACAATGAAAATAGAGGAGAAGATGGAGGAGACAATGATGGAGAAGGAGGAGGATAATGGCAAGTTAAAGGAGGGGGAAAAGAAGCAAAGGAAAAGGAGAAGGAGCAGGAGGAAAGAGAAGAAAAATGAGGAGAAGGACATAAAAATGACTGAGATGGAAAAAGGAGGAGGTGATAAAAGAAACAGAAAAAAGAAAACAAGCAGCAGGATGAGATGATGGATGATGAGAAGGAGAAGGATGATGTGATGATGGAGGAGAACAAAGAAAAACAATAAAAAAAAACAAAAAAAATATTTTTGCCTGTTTGTTTTGCTTATCTGCTTGAACATCTGTTTAAATATGTACTCTTTTGTGTCTGGTGTTGAAAATTGTGAAAAAACGCAGTGTGTCTAAATTTAAGGTTGAATCTTTAGTATCTGATTAATATTACATTAGATACTGAAGATTAGACCTTAAATTTAAAGGCTTAACAAAGTGTTTTCAAAAGCAAATGCTAGAGAAAACTGCATCACAGCAATATAGTTTGACCATGATTTTGCATTGCTTTGCCGTTTTGTGGAACCATACTTCACTAGACTCGAAACTTGAGAGCTC